ATAATTATAATAATAAAAATAATAATAATAATAAATAAAAACTTTTTTTGCAAGTTTGAATCCTAACAAAATGAAATCCAACAAAAACAAATTTAAGGTTGGTTGCACGACGAAAAAACACATCGCTTCGTAATTGAAAGAATGTATAAATTAAACCAATCTAATAATACCCACCAACTTGGCAGCCCGCACGGAAACCGCTCATTAAATATTTCCTCGTCATTCATTCGCCCTGTTACTATAAAAACGTTAGCATCGCCGAGGAGTCACCTCTCGGCTAATAAAGATTACAATTAATGCTCGTGCCACTTTTTAACACTTTTTTAAATTAAAATAAAAAAACATGTATGTAAAAAAAAATTCAATATCCTACCCACAGCCATTTAATAAATATCGATGCGATTGTTTTTAATAAAAGCACGAGGACACTGGCGTCCTTGCCTTCTTGGTATACGTAAGCATATGCGCGTTTTCTTTTGTCCGTGTGTGTGCGAATCTAAGATTAATCTTGTCCCGTGACCCTGTTCTCTTCGCCACTTGTTTCTCCTCTTTTTATTCTTCCTCTCTCACCTTTTTCGTTCTCTCTTTGTTCTTTTGTTTTTTGTCTCTCCACTGCCGTGTACTATCTCCTCTACTCGTTTATACACGTTATCATGAACGTGCATTTTTTAAGATTGGGTAAGTGCCTATTTAAAGACTCCTTAATTTTTATTTTATTTGAATTCGGGAAATAAATGTTGAAACTTTTTATTTTTCAAAGCGCTTATTTGATGTGTAAAAAATTTACTGAATAAAAAAAAAGTCATCCCAAAAATGTATCTTTATAATGTATAAGTTGACAATAATTTTAAACAAAAGGATAAATCTCTAATAATACTGAAAGACATACCTCATGATTTTATTTTTTAAACGTATCATATCACAATAATTGTGAAAAACGAATCGAAAAAAAATTTTTGATTAATTTTTTTATTCAGCCATCAAAACGTATTTTTGTTGCATCATGTACAGCATAAGTTTTTATTTGATAATGTAAATAAAAAGCGACACGTTGCAAGTCGAAGAAACAAATCATGCAAAGTCCAGAACATTTGGCATTCATGTTTTTTTCCAATTCCAGAGCAAGAGAGTCCACATCGAAGAATAAGAGAGGAAGCGATCTCGAGAGCTCAATTCAGGACGCGGCAGAGAGGTGTTGGACGTCGTGTTCCGGCGTGGGGCTAAAAGATTTCCAACGGGTCTTTCCCGCTGAAAAAGAAGTCTCTTTTTCCGTAGTTCTTCTTGTATACTTTTTTTCTTTCTTTTTTTTTTTCTACCTAGCGCAAGTCGATTTTACTCGATTCTCGGCTCTGTTTGAATATTTATTTGTTTATTTATTTATTCCTCCTGTACGTTTTTCTCATCTTTAATGGAGAGGCGAATTTTTTCGTTTGAAAATCTTTTTTTTTTTTTTTTCTTTCATTCTTTTGTGTTAGCTCGTGACCTACATCGGTCCGCAATATCCCGGTAAAAACTTCACTTTGACGAAACAACGGAGGATGTCATACATATACACGCTCGTTTCAAAAAAATATCCATCAAATCCGAAGCTAAAATCCGCAAAAGTGAATAAAAGGCATGAAATGTGTTGTTTTATTGACATCAAATGCAAACGTTCGCCATTAATCGAAAAAATGTATATTCTAGCGCGCTCCAGGCCACTCATGTATCCGCTGAAGCCGCGAATTCAAAGCAATCGAAGTTAAATTGCAAATTTGAGTTGCTCTTTGACGGGGAAATTTAATATACTCGAGGCAAGTAATTTCGCTCGAGATTCGCGGTGCCCGCATGACGGGAAAATCGAAAGAGAAAGTCGAGGAGGACGGAGGAGCGCACGAGGAGACGGTGGTCGAGACGGTGGTGGTGGTGTTATTCACGAACCGTCTCGTTAAAATCAGTTTGTTTTTTTTCCTGTCTCTCTCTCTTTCTTTTCCTCTAGTCGTGAGTTCCAAAGTACATGACGCTTGTCAAAGCCTTTATGTGGCTCTTTTGGCTGAATTAGATGACTCCCCGGAAATTGGTTGGGAAACGTTGCTACTCGTAACAATACCCTATTGGATGGTTATCGAACGTTTGTATACTATATGCAGACGGGCACACAATTATTTTATGGATATTTTCAAACATTTTCATAAATTTTTTCTTAAAATTTAATGCAACATTTTCTGTCTTAAAAAATAATTTTCTTTAATCAACACTATTAGAGTAGATAGTAATTTTTTTATTTCGATGGGTAATTTTATGCAAAAAAATTTTTTCTCAATCAATATTTTCCATCAATAGCGAGTAAGTAATGAGCAATGCGCCATTGACAGAAAATGTCGATAAAGAAAAAATGTATACGTATAATAAAATATGTTGTAACAAAAACAACATAATATGATATTTTTCTGTAAAAAAAAAAAAAAATCCAACTGAAACATTTGGAACAAATGTTTCATATGTATAATGGATCTTTACGCTTTATTAATATAAATATAAATAATTCGACACTTACTTTCTTTCGAAGTTTTTTTTCTTTTTCAACGTATACGTATTACTTGAATATTTTTAGAAAAAAAAAAATTGTATTTAAAAAAAATCCACTTGCAACTTTACTCGCAGTACTATATTTTGTGAGTAATATTACCAGATAAACAAAAACGAAACATATTCGATTCAACCAGACAACATAGAAACTTTCCATAAGTACTCACTTTGATCTCATCTTTTTGAGCCATGTAACTGAACTTTGTGTTGGCCTGAAGCGACGTTATTCCGGATGCCCTCTCATGGACTCCTCTCGGCAGGTGCTTTTTCTCCAATATACCCGAGGGGCCCGCTCCGATCGTTCGAACGTCAGCTCACCTGCAACAATCAAACAAACAACAAAAATTAAAAAAAAAAAAAAAAAAAAAAATTACCTCCAACGTCCTGAAAGTAATTTAAAACATTCACCTCCTTTGTTTTTTAAGTATATAGCCACGAAAACACTACTACAAATCGACCAACAGATGAAAAAAGGTTTCGCTATCGCGCTCGTATTATTTGCAAATAAGATATAGACGAAGAAATCGAGAAGAGGGCGAGGAGGGGGGGGGCAAGGTATAACAGTGCCATGAGAACACATAGCGGCATATAGTGCACACATGCAGGCCCATTGTTCGAGATATGTGTGCCCGAGTATCGAGCCGAGTATTATATGGTTCAAAATAGGCATATGGCGCGCTCGTCGCGTTGCATAATCATATTGTGCTGTTTGCGCGTATATATACGTATATGTTCGTGTGTCTTGTTACAAGCGAGGCGGGTGGTGAAAAAACGGTATCTAGATAAATTTATTTTGTCGCTTCGCCTATTAGCTGGTGCTTTTTTTTTTTTAGATTATAATTTTTTTTCGGAATTGTTGGTATATCCTTAAAGCAGAGCGCTAACAAGCGTCTCGTTTGCTTTGCCGTTGTTATCGCATTATAACATATTATACGTTTCCAAAGTGCAACACTTTGTAACATCAGCACGCAATTAAATCGCATTTCCCACGTTGAATTAAATTCTCAATGCGCTATCCCGAGAGCCCCTACTTCGGTCTAAACTGCACGTGCGAGTTGAGCAATATTAGAGCAAAAAAGGTAAGTATACATATATGTACTATATGTATAGACATAGGATTGATCAATTTTTTTTTTTGTTTATTTGTGAATCCCCAAAATTACTTAGTTTGGTGTTGGGTACAAGTCGCAGCGACAATATATTGTAACAAATGGTAATTTCTCACGTTTATACATAATTAATCGTTCAACAATATATTTATACCAGCTTGTCTCTCAATCCAAACCAAGGAGTGCTCTGTTCTGCACTACCAAAAATAGCATAAGTACTTATTTAAGCAAACGTTTCCTCCTTGCGCGACTTTACAGTTGGACGGATTTTTTTTTTTTTTCATTTTACTGTATATTTTTTCCAAATATTTCCATTCAACGTACTGGCAAAAAAATCCGTTGCAAATTCCTGAAGTAACGAGAAATAGCAAAAAAAAAAAACCCGAGCTCTTTGAAAATACGAATTCACAATTAGTAACTCTCTACGCTCTTCCCCTCTTACTTTTGTACTCAGCGACCCCCTCGTAAAAGTACTGCATAAAGCACGCACATTTCGACGCGTGTCGTCGGTAATTGTTTTTCTTTTTTTTTTTTTTTTTTTTTTTTTTTTTTTTTCGCTACATCATGTAAGTGCACATGTGAGGGATTTTTTTTCCCCTCCTCTTTTATCCTCTCGTAGTTCTCTTTTTTAATAAGCCCAATAATGACTGAGAGCGAGGGAAGCTTTTTACACGTGTGTGAGTGTGTGTATGAGGACAGAAAACACGAAACTCTTTTGTTGTGCCGTCAACTGTGGATGTTGTCATTGTTGCCGTTGTTGTTTGTTGTTGTTGGGAGTTCCTTGAACACTGAGTATGTTTGTTTTATAATAGTGTACTGAATGTGTATTAATTACAGGGATTTCAATTTATAACAATGTTGCTGTGCTGGTAATTATTTTTTGATAATTTATGATTTTTTAAATAAAATTTTTCACGATTTAAATTAATGAAACGTTTTAATATCATTAAAATATGACCAGAATGAAAATTACTCATGATTAATTTTCGTTTTGCAAAATATTTTATACAGTACGGCAACAATATTTTATTTTTTACTTACACATTTGATTTTGCACATTTTTGAAAATGAGCTTAAGCGATAGTAGCCAGATGTTGTACGAAGTATAAAAAAAACTCCGATTTAATCAATAAATCTGCGTGACGATGGGAAAGAGTATTGAGATGCGATATTTTTAGTCTTTAAGTAAGATAAAGAGAGATAGAGATGGATATAGAGAGCCGAAAGAACAAGACGAAGAAAAAAAGGGGAAAAAAGGAATGTGAAACAAGGAAGGGACAGAAAAACGCCGGGAATGAAGGTACCGCAGGGTGGGAGAGATGGAAGGAAAAGAGGCAATGAGAACGAAAGGAGAGAAGTCGAACAAAAACTCGTTCCCGCGCGAGCGTCGCTACTTATACACACATACACACACACACACACACTGCAATGTCGAGCGTATACCAAGTACACATACACACACACTCAAGGCTTTGGTCTCTCTCGCTCGGATCTCTCAACTCGAATGAATGTGCCTCCTCCCCTTCATCTACCCCCCTTTGCTCATAAAAACTCTTGCCATTTCTCTCCTTTTTCTTCTTCTTCTTCTTAGCCAAGTATTATATTTTATTCTTAAATGGGATACTTACTACTTCTAAAATTTTTAACTCTTTTTCAAAAACAATTTTTCTTAACTAGCGTAATACTTGAAATGCAGTGCTTATTTGGTTTTCGATAACTATTAATTTGTTCTCCAGCAACGGAGAAGTAAGTATCGATAACTGAACATGGCGGTAATGAATAATCGGAACGATAATTTAACAACCTCCTTTCACAATAGACTCGTAAAAAACTAATATTTAAAAACTTTCATGTATGTATTATGTGATAACAATGGCATTTTACGATTATTGTCTCGATTATTGTGCTTCAATACGCGAAGTACATAGACAATTTAAATAAAGTTGAAATTTTTTTTGTTTCATCATTAGCTTTTAAAAGTGAATTTCGTGATTTTTAACGAGGTAAAATATTATTTTTATTAAATTTTTTCATCACGAGCGAACGGCATCAACGTTTTATACCTTCCAGGTAATAAATTACGCAAATTTATGAGTAAAATCAAAATACTTTGTTGAAGTTAATGCGTACGTTATTGTGTATTTTCATGAGTTTGTTACGTGGGAATTGAGATACTGTACGTTACAAGTTATTCACAAAAAATTATCGTACTTGTAGAAAAATCATTCCGAAGCCTGACTTTCTTTAATAAATAATTTCAGTAATGCCTTTCTTTGTAAAATAATAATTACACATTAATTTTCTTGATTAACGTAAGGTAAGTACTTGAAAACTATAATTTCAAAGAAAAAACATTACGTATAGACAAGAAAGAGAAGAAAAAAAGCAGATAATTAAAATAATAAATAAAGAAATTGTGACCAGGTTGCGCGATGGCAACATGAAGTTTCTTAATCTGAGGGATCTAATGAACATATTTACGCAAAAAAATTCCTTTGCCATTGATCTAGCACGACGCCGCCAATTTTGACCCGTCTATAACGCACCAAAGCATTTCCAAGTTTATTCTCGAAATCCACTCGGCTCCTTTGTGTAACAGGCCGAGAGAGTACACGTCGCTACACACGAATACGGGCGTATACAGAAAAAGGGCCGACAACATAGTGTCGATAGCAATCAAGCGCTTCTCTTTCGGGCCATCGTGTGCCCAGTGAAACACACACAACCTATCCCTTCTTCTTCTTCTTCTTCTTCTTTTGGTGTATATCGTGCATGATGGTTTGTTTGTGGTGTCATGTATCTTGGCATCTATGGAGGCAAGTGCGCAAGAGTGCTTCAGTACAATGCGCTCTTCTGTGCATCCCATAAAAGAGACAATGATATTTGTTTTTTTTTTTTTCGAGTTATCCATACAATGTGACTAAATGATAAACGAGAGGAAATTTAATTAAATTTTTGGATCAACTTGAATTGAGAAAAAATATCAAAGTACATTTTGCGGGTATCTACATTCATGAAAGGTTATTGAAGAATATTTTATAAAATCGTTATTGAATAAGCCAGGATTTTCAAACGAATGCTTTTTTTATGTTTAAAATGTCTGTGCTTTTTATGTATAAAAACTTTTTTCCCAATATTAAAATCCGTGCAGTGAACGATAAGATACTTTCGATTCTTGCGCTGGGTATAAAACTTTATCGGAAAAGCCTTAAGGAATAAATTACATTATTCTTTTCTCCTCGGTAATCAAAGTTATTACACGATTCCGTAAAATACTGAAAAGGGAATGAGATACACGAAACGAATTTCCCTCGAGGCAGGGATACAACGAATAAATAACAAACGACATTTACTTAAAAATACTTTAACATCATAACACATCAAGCGTCAATTACATTTTTTTATTAAAAAAATCAAAAAATTAAAAAATAACAACCAACAAGTTAATAAAAAAATAAACAAAAAAACCCAAAAAAAAAGGAACTCTTCGTGTAAACGTGAATAAAAAATCTCGTTCTCGGTTCGTTGTGTATGCCAAAGAAACATGTTTTGTGCGTCAAACAGAAAAGCAAAGGCTCTGATGTGTATGATGATGGTTTTGGAATAAAAGATAATGTAGTAACGTTTTATTCGCCTCTATACGCCATGCCTTAGATCCGGTGGGATCTTCGAAGGTTAAGATTATCTCAACCACAGAGGATAAATAGGATTATAAATATTGTAAAATTTCTGTGAACTGTATGATTACGAAGAAAATTTATAACTCCTAAAAAAAAGAGTTTGCATATAAATTAACGAATTGCTTATTCAAATTAAATATTTTTGCTCGTATACGCAAAGCTTAAAAATTTGACTGATATTAGAAGTTGTACTTCCCAAATTGAATTTTCATCCGATAAATCCTCAAATCTGGAGAAACCTAATAATTCAGCAGCACATCACATCACGGGTTATGAAAGAAAACTCACTTCCAGCGGTAGAAAGTGCCCCCGGACAGAAAAAAAAAAAAAGTCCCACGTAACATTTATCGCTGCGCTCGATTAGAGTCCGTAAGAGCCCAAAGAATTCGAAAGTACGGCAAAAGCCTCTCTACGGCAGTTGGAAAGATTTTTGCATTAACTTTTGCCGCTACCCGACGACCGTCCGCGTTTGAAGACAAAAAAATGAAAAAAAAAAAAAAAAATTCCAACATCTTCGTCAAATGTAGTA